ACACACATACACACATACACACACATACACACATACACACATACACGCACATACACACACACATACACACACACACATACACACATACACATACACATAAACACATACACCCCCATACACACACACATACACGCACACATACACACATACACACGCATACACACACATATACACATACACACATACACACATACACGCACATACGCACACACATACACACATACACACACATGCATACACACATACACACATACACACACATACACACATACACACATACACACATACACACATACACACATACACACATACACATACACATACACATACACACACATACACACATACATACACATACACACATACATACACATACACACATACCTACACACGCACATACACACATACACACATACACATACACACATACACACATACACACATATACACACGCACACACACACACATACACACATATCCTGATTTTCCACGCCGAATTTCCTTCCGCGACACTTTGTGTTCCGACGGGTACCGCGTGAAGAGCCTGGCCCGAGTTCTGACGGTAACGGGCGGAGGGCTCTTCAGATGTTCTATGGACCCGATCCTATCGGCACTGGACGCCCTACAATAATTCTTCATCGACGTGATGGCATGTCGAATTTCGAAGGGAGAACCGAAGGAACGACATATCCGTTTGCCTGGTAGGTAGGCAGATATATGTGACTATCGAATAGATACAGTAGTCGTAGATGACCTCTTCTCCATTGCCATTCGAGATGCAGTAACTGTTCCGTCAGGACGAAGAAAGAAACTCATTTTGTTCTTGTAGTTGTTGAAGTTCTGTCGGAACTGTTCTTCGCGATCTCGGGGACATCCACCAGGACCGGGCAGTTTTTCTCGTATATTTTTTTTTATCGCTCATCTTCCCGTCCGTTATTTGGTGGTTGTCTGTAGGCTTTGAATAATGAGCAATGAGCGATGAATTGTGGCAATATTGTATGGTTTAGGGAGGAACTGAGTAAGCAGACCGATCAGCAGCTATTTTTGTCATACTTCTGCAGATTTCGGAAATCATTCCCTAAGAACTATACTCAAGAAATAAGTCGTAATAGAGACAAAACAGCCGATTCGAGGCTTGTCCTTGGACTGTCCATGCATGCGATACAACGCTCGTGCGAAAAACGTCGGAACGGCAAGTGATCTCGGAAAAGGATTTTATAAGAGCTCGCAAAGATGGAATGGCGGGTGGATGAAGGCGAGACCTCACCATTCTTCGAAAAGTGATGGATTGAGAGCACCGAAGCAGATATGTGGGCTCAGATACATTACAAAAATATAAGAGACTGGGCAGATTAAGAGAAACCTCCCAAATGAGAAAACTGTGCCTCTCAGAAAAGTTGTTACCACATTTATGGCTCACCCTGTGTATGTAGGAGAAGGGGACCTATCATCTGAGCATGATCGCAGTACATCAGCAATCACAAGAGCTGCAGAATATTCGCGTCAATGATGGTGAATGTGATCCGCTTTCATATTCAATCCTCTTTCCTCGTGGAGAGTTTGGCTGACATCAAAACATGCTGAAAAATCCATCAGAGGGGCGCAGAGCGAGAATAACAACAGGAATACTATTCGAACATGACAGCTGTGAGAGCAGGCTCAATCCACTACATTTCGCCGGCGAAATACGTCAGCAATTCTTAGCGGACAGCTATGCGGAAATGAACCGAATCATCCTAAATATGATCTCGCCGGAAGGAACTTTAAGAGGACACACACCGCTAACTAGGACAATGTTGCAGGAGATACGGACATCGCAGACCCACCAGAAACCTGCATCATTCTACCTTCGATGTTGCCTGGATCTCCTCAAGCGCTCTGGCGATCGTCCCGAAATATGGAAAGGAAACCTGTTTGAGACCTTCACTTGCATTCCGGCAACTAGGAAAAAAGCAAATAGGCTAAATACTTGAGAAACAGCTTCTGAACATGTTGTCGCCCAGGTTTTCCACATCGTATTGCAGAAACTATTTCTAGTTCCTGCAATATGATGTGGAACACACGGGATATTAGGAAAAAAATATATTAGGAGCTGCGATTGCTATTATCACCTTATGCTACTTCAGTGCGATTTTGGTGTGACAAAAATGTGGCATTTCATAATGCCGTACGTTACCGACGATTGCTGAAGAGAATAGGCTAGAAACGCAATTGAACTCGATTTAGCTGTGCAAGCTGTAAAACCTGACCCAGAAGCTGAACCTCCATGTCATCGCTTTGTTGCAGCTTGCATTTTGCAGAAGCCCCGTGGTTGAGAGAACCCAAGTTGGCCATGAATTGTAAAAGTCCAGGGTTGAAAAAAAAATCCCCAAGTCATTCCGAGAGGCGGAAAACGTAGAAGTAAATGGCTACCCAGAGCATAGATGACCGAACGATGGGAAGACGGTACAAATGGTAACATAAAACTACAATAGATGCATGGTTTCAAACAATAAATATCCAACACTTCGACACAATGCCCATTTCAATATTAAAGTCTCTGCTATGATCCAGACATTGGAGCACATGCACGAAAAAGTATGAAGAGATAAGACAGAGCAGAATTGCACATGATGAGAACAAACGGAGGTGATGGGGTCAATGAGATAACACTTCATCAATGCTAGATCTAAGTGCCCTGTAATCGGTTCACAGACTGTTGGAATTCGAGCTCCACTCCAAATCGCACATTGTTTACAGACTGCAAGCACATCTTCCAGAACAGGAGCGTAGTTTTCCAGAATGGCTAAGAGAAGGAAATTTCCCATCATGCAACAGAGCGTGGTACAACTCTCACAGCCTATTTCGAGCTAGACGCTTAGCACGAGGCTGTGTACGGAATTGACAATGTATCGCAAGGGCAAGCTGATGCTAGTACGCTATTCTATGTCTATCTAGCTACCAGAACATTGCACATTCAATGAGCAAACCAGAAAAAGGAGCATGAGAAAAAACAGGAAAAAAAGAAAAGAAGCCGTCAGATAGGAAGAACGTAAACAACAAACCCACTAGATGCGGGGGGTTACGGTCCCGGATCATTCCTCTTGACCTATTGACGATAGCTCGCCTTTTTGTGCGTCTGGGCCGCTGAACAGCGCATTCCGCTTCCACGGCTATCCCGTGAATGATTCTTTTTGCTGTTATAAACTATTTTTACTTCTTCAAGCTTTTTTTCATGACTCCATTTTAAATAGGTGTAAACTGTGTAACTATGTATCTTCTACTTTACTTAATTCTAGTTTTATGAATAATATAGATTTAGGAACCAAAATGGAGCAGTCTGCAGAAGACGATTTGGAGAGCTGTTTCAGAAGACTATTGGACGAACATAGTAAGAGAGCCTATAAGGAGTGATTTTTTTCTCAGTTATGCCCCCAGTAAACTCACGGATAATAGATCTGATTCCAAAAGTGACGAGTTGTTATTAGTATAAGGCAGTAAAAGTGAAGACGAATGGCCGAGAGCAGAATCTCATGAAGATTCAGTATTATTCGAGCAAGTTGGCCCTTACAACTGTTTACTTACAAGGGAAGGATACCTGGTCGCAGTGGTCATTCAACATGAGTATAGCATGAGTATAGTATAACAAGTATACCCCCGCAGGTGGTTTCGAACGCTGATGTCAAATCTGTGTTCCAAATCTGCTAAACGATTCTAGGAACAAAGTTACGGCACCGATGCCTCCCTGTGTTGCACCACATTAGCGAGCGGATCATCGAACCGAACAAAGGTGCGTATGTGCAACGGTGGCGCAGCTGGTAGGTCGATGGACTGGTAGGCATGACATCAAGGTTCGATTTCTTGATGCATGTGCTCGTTTTGCTTTCACATGAAGTACGTCCTAAACGCTTGCAAAACGTTTTTTGACTCATTGTTGGGCATTTACGTAGCTCCTTCTTAATTTAGGAACACTGTAAAGGTATTCGAGGTCAATGTTTAGTACTGCTCCGCCGTACAGGTTTGTTATGGCTGAACCGCTTCATTGGTCAACGTTTCGACTGAATCATCGTCTTCAGGACCTGAAAATAGTTCGAAGCTCCTGATCTGTGACTTACCCGACCAAGCGCCCAAACGCGCTAGGCTAGTTGCAACGACTCCCGGAAACTAGGACCTGGAAAGTTCTCAGCAAAAAAACCAGCGTTACGTCCCACTCTATCACTCTAAAAGAACAACAAGGGATCAATGAGACACTAGAAATGATCGTCATCGCAGGAGTTCACTTGTTATGGCCGAGCACTCATTTCCGTTGTTCAGGCTTGGATTTTTCGTGCGAAATTTGCAATCTCCGTCTTTTCCAAACGGACAAATGACGCAGTTATCCGTAGAACACGCACAGTCGTAAAGTTTATTGCGGATTAGTTGACGTTTGATATTGTCTCGGTAAGTTTATCAAGACAACATCATCGGCCAAATCCGCGCGTGCTATGCACTGCCTGATTTCTGCGCTAATTTTGTCCGATATGAAGGAAGCCGGAGATACACCATATTCTCAGGATTTCTGGGAAAATGCCTTTTCGAGCCTGATCTTCCGTGTTGTGCCCCATAACCATTCAACCTTGCTGTCTCAGATGCTAGTTTACTCTCGTTCCACTGCGCCTGTACAAACTCCTGTCGTTGTTTTGTACATATTACGAATAACTGCACATTTTGCAGCTCCAGGGTGGGCAGACTTTGCGTGGAGTAAAATGTTCTTAAGGCTCATTTTCCGATACCTTTTCACATTATACCTTCCACTATCTGCGTATTCAGATAAGGAAGCCAGATTTCATGCGGAACTTCTCTCGTGAAATTGGTGTACTGTGACTGACGGTTAAGAATGTCAAATAATTCATCCATCCATCGATATACCGACAGTACAAAGTGGGCATACGCGCTATAACTGGTGTTTCTAATCTGCTCATAAAACAGATAGCTAGAACCGGTGCTAGCCGCTGACCAAGTCCTCGGATTTGGGAGAAGTATTGCCCACTCCACTTGAAAGGATTACGGTTCAGGCATTCCTTAATAAGAGCCATAATGTGAAACTCGCTCAATCCGAACGTCACCACTTCTGCTTTATGCTCATCTAGCATTTCAGAAACTGCTTGGAGAGCTCCGTTGTTATTCACTTTCGTATAAAGCGTCATCAAACGACTCTATTACGCAGTTGTCTTGAAGCCTACACGAACGTAAGCGGTCAAGAAATTCGTTGGTGTTAGGCAAATGAGAAGGCACGTATCGGAGGAACTGACCAACAATTTTATTGCGGAACCAGGAACTGCGGCCCGTTGGTCCTCCCACACAGCTGATGATAGATCTGATTTTGTAATCACTAGCAGTAACTGAGCTTTCACCTCCGTTGCTCAACTAATAAGTTTTGATCAGGCTATAGAAATCCGGAACCGGACAGGGAGCGTCCAACCTCCATATTTTCATCAGCCTGTATCCAACTTTGCCATCTTTCCTATAGATACTCATAACGCATTCAGCCTGCGACATTACAGGACAAACGCCTTTTCCGTAGAGCCACTGAAAATAGAAGTATCATTGAGGTGGAGTTCCGTGATCTCCTGATCCAGGGTGCGCGGTAGGACCGCGAACTCTCCTCCCTTGTCGCTTACTTGAAGACGGATTTTGCCGCCTGCTACGCGTCTCCGTATCTCTCGCAACCCTTCCCACTGTGCGTTCGTAACGTTTGAGAATCTCACGTCTTTCACGCATATGTCTTTTGAAGACTTCAGGAACTCCTGCTGAGAGTAAACTTGATTTGTCTTGTACGGAGAAGGTTCTGGTTCGCTATAGAACGAACGTGGGAAAGGAATAGGCGTCAACATAGACTGCTCAGACTCCGTACCATTGCGCTGAGGCTCCCTGCGCACTGCATTCATTCTGAGCTGATCTCTAAGCTGATGAAGCCCTGTCACCACCTGGCGATACGTGGAAGGTCTTATTCTTGGGCAATTGAAAATGATGTCCCAAGATTAAAGAAATCCAAGGCCTTTTCTGATATTGGTGCCTTGCCAATAACAGTGACACTCGCCTGATTTTGTGGGTTGTTCATTCCTAGAGTGATTGTATCTTAATACCGGCGGGTCATAGAAGAGGTGGCCCCGTTACTGGAATCTTTTCCATATTTCTCGCTGCTCGGGGTGTTGTACTTGGCACATAGAGTTGTTTATGCCCTAGATCGAATACAACCACAAATCTCCTTCGAACCACATTCAACCGCTTTCCATCTACGATCCGGCAATAGACGTCTACAAGATTCCTTCTTCGCATTACATTTCAATAAAGTGGAATACAGTATGTGTTGCTTCTTTTTGATAGCAACGCCTAGGAAACTTCGGTGAATATTGACGAGGTGCTCTACACTTAAGAAGGAACACCGATAGAAGGACATCAAGGCAATGATTCCGACATCGGATGTAAAATCTTAGCCTACGAGAATGAGATCGGTGCCAGAAAGATAATGGTAGCGTTATATATTCGCACGAAAAATCCAAGCCTGAACAACCGAAATGAGTGCTTGGCCATAACAAGTGAACTCCTGCCGTTCATTCCCTTTTGTGGACTTTGAGATCACCCACATAATTCTTATCTTACGGTCATTACTAGTGTCTCATTGATCCCTTGTTGTTCACATAGAGTGGGTCGTAACGCTAGTGGAACTGCAGAAGGTTGGTCTTTTTGCTGAGAACTTTTCCAGGTCCTAGTTTCCGGGATTCGTTGCAACTAACCTAGCGTGTTTTGGCGCTTGGTTGGGTAAGTCACACGTCAGGAGCTTCAAACTATTTTCAGGTCCTGAAGACGATGATTTAGCCGAAACATTGACCAATAAAGCGGTTTAGCCATAATAAACCTGTACGGCAAAGCAGTACTAAACATTATGTAGAATGCCCAGGTTTCAAAAAGACCAAACTTTGAAGGTATTACGAGGAATGTTTTTTTTTTCGCCCCTTACCGGCCGAATGAGGGTGGAGCTACATTCAAACAAAAGAGGAGTTCCAAACATTTGCTCAAAATTTACTCAAGAAGGCCTAAGGAGATGTTGTTCTAGTCGGGCCACCAGGCTAACGCCGAGCTTCACTCTTTATGGTAAGGTTGTAGTAATCTACAAATCGATCCCTCCTCATTCGGAATGAATTATAGTTTTCGGCACACGAAACTCGACAGAGAACTGATAGGGCATGCAAGATGTATTTAAAATGAGCCGATGCTTATGCCTCTGATTAGAAGTCTCAATCTGTTGCTGTTCATCTTGAATATAATGACCTACTGAAGGTTCAACTGGTAGGCAACCAAATCCCTGTATGGTACTTGCAAATGTTGTCGAGCCATACCCTTACCAATGCCTCTATTAATAAAATGTTCTTTCTTAACGGATATATCATTAAATGAGAATCCAAGATCATAAGCGGTCGGACAAGTTTTTCCAAGTATGATATCGAAGCGAAAAGAAACAGTGATTCTTCATTGAGTCGCAAATTTTGCTGGGGTAGCAGTCGTAACCTAATAGCAAGAAATGAACCAATTTCCATCTCCTTGAGAATTAATACTTTCAGTCGGTCCCTATCACTGCACTTACCCTCCTTGTCGAATGGAGCATACATCAAAGAGTCAAAGCTAGATCGTAAATTAGGCGTCGGTTTCAATTGGTGAGTGGATCTTGCTTCCTATGACCTCTTCCATCGCCAGGGTTTCCATCCTACCGCCTCTACATCTATGAGGAGCCCGCCCCGTGTGGGCCAAGTCTGGTCCTGCCACTCACCATAAGTGTTCCCATCCTGCCGCCTGTACTCCTGCGAAATTCGAACGCTCCAGCTCCAAGCCGGCAATTGTCGCGCAAACCCCACCTGACGTGGGCGAAGCTCAGTTCTCTCACCCCCATCGGAGGTGTTCCCATCTTGCCACCTGTACTCCTACTAATTTTGAACGCCCCAGGGCCTGATTGACTATTTTCGCGCAGACCCCGCCTATGGACGGAGTTGGTTCTACCACCTATTACAAGTGTTGCCATCCTGCCGTCTGTACTCCTTCCAAATTTGAACTTCATAGGCCCACGGGGACAGGAGTTATGAAAATTCCCGGTCGGACACACACACTTACACACACACATACACACATGCACATACATACATATGCACATGTGTACACATACGCATATACACATATATACACGCATATATACACACATACACATATATACACACATGTATACACACATATATACACACATACACATTATACACATACCACACACATCACACACACACTATGTACAATAATAATATGATGCGCTCGCGTCTGTCTGTCTGTCTGTCTGTCAGTATGTCACGAAATTCGATAATACCTGAAGGAACACCTGGAGAGGTCGAGTCAAGTTTGGAATGGGTCGAGCATAGGGCAAGACTAACAGAGCACACGTGAGCCCAGCGGAGCTCCGCCCCCAGGGGACGGGGCATGCGCCGGAATTGGGCGGGGTCATGGGCAAATTCTTATCATTCGGTCTCATGACAGCCCAGAAAGAACAGTCAGGGAAAATTGTGCAAAGGTGGGGGATGGGTCAACGAATTAAAAAAGGGAAGTTACCGGCGGTGGATGGAGCTTTCTCGCAGTGGGCGGCACTTTCCACAGAGATTCATAACTCGATTCAACGAAGGCGTCGTGACCAGAAAAAAAGTAAAAAGAGTGAGCAAGGCCTTATGAGTGCTGGGCATGCGTAAGCGTAGCGAAGCCCCGCCCACGATGGGCGGGGCATGCGTTGAGATGAAAGCTAATTTTCAAAAATGAATGTAACTTCGTTCGAAAACGATCTAGAATTCGGTAAAAAAGTGGTTAGAGGTAGTGGAACAAATGTGGCCAAGTCCTCGAAGTGGGCGGGGTTGGCATCAAAGTGGGCGGGCTAGAATCAAAAATTTATAACTCCATTCAGAAACGCTCTGGGATGCGGCAAAAAGGTGTTAAGGTGTGAAAGAACAAATGTGGTCAAATCCCAGAAGTGGGTTGGGTTGGCACCAAAGTGGGTGGAGCTTAGATCAAAAATTCATAACTCTATCCAGAAACGTTATGGGATGCGGGAGAAAAGTGGTAAGATGTAGTAGAACAAATGTGGTCAGATCCCATGGGTGGGCGGGATTGGATTTGAAGTGAGGGGAGCTTACATCAAAAGTATTAAGTCTCTTCAGATGCGTTTTAGAACGCGGTAAGGTGTATGGAGGTAGTAAAAGTAATATATGTAGTTCGAAGTCTGAAATGGGTAGGGTTTGCAAAGAAGGGGGCGGGACTGAGATCAAAAATTTATACACGGAGGTGTGCAACTAGGAAATACCACTAAACTCCTCCAAAAATTAGGCTAAAAATTTTTCAAAAGTTATTATGGTTCGACAGACAGTAGTCCCTTCTACACAAGAGCAAATGCACTACATTAACTTCATACCTCATGAAATAAATTCTTCAATAACCCCGGCCACACAGGTGCATACCCTCTAGAGACGTGTAAATCCATACAACTACCCAAGGGTACTGTCCTCGCAAAGTTAGTGTTCATGGCTACCGCACCCCCATTTCACAGGAGTACTCTTCATGACCACATACAGCCCAAACCAAAATATTTGTTAATTAATATCAGAAAAGGTTGAAGTTGTTGCTTGACTAATCCCCGTAGGCCTTGCTGAAGAATACTGTGAACGCAGAAGATTTGATAGATTACATGTCTCAAAATCAAGTGTTATGTATACCATGCCAAAACTCCAGCCGAGCTGGATAAACTTTTCTATTACGCATCAAACACCCTTCTTGAATTGCTTGCCCGTCCGAATTTTCGTGATATAGCGAAAAAATCCCATTCTTCCCAAAGGACAAAAAAATGATGGCCGCTACAGGAGTGTTAGGGAAGATTCTCAGATGGTAGAGGTCTATAATGAAAATCAGAAGCTCATGTGGACCTGTCCCTCATGGCTAGAGCCCAAATCCAACGCGGTAGCGTGCGTGGCCGCCGATAAAGTGAAAAGTCAGCGCTCGAGGACAGTTATAGCATACAGAGAATCGTAACCTTCACGTATGTAGCAGTCGAGAAATTGTACCAGAACATCCGATCATCGGAATAATTTTGAATCGATTCTTAAAAGATTTTTTCTTAAAATATGTTGATGATATCATTTCCCCTATTATCGATCTTGCCGTATTGTTTCGAGAGTCACTTCAGCGTTTTCGCTACCATGTAGCGTGCTAACAAACGCCTCGGGAAGCCACAATTCCGCAGCGAGTGCTCACAACTGCATCTTATTCTACTTACGCACGTTGCGAACTTGATTTGACTTCCATCTTCAACTGAGACTACGGAATGATCCGATAAAGCGTGGATTACATGTTTTTGCCCGCATTCAAGATAGTCTTGTTTATGGCAGTCACGTTGCTGTTATAGTAAAAGCAAAACTTCCAGTATTTACGACCGTCTGTTAGTATTTTCCGCGGTTTCCTTGATCAGTCACAATACTGAAAGTTTAGTTTAATAGTTCACCCTTCCAGCAGAACAGGCACTGGTGTTGGAGTAGGTGCTTGAGTCAATGTACTTATCTTTTTCAGGCTTAATGCCTTGATGACATGCTTTTCCCCCTTGTGATGATTAGTGAGATTTTTCGATTGCTTGCATGTCTTGCATCCGAGCCGATAGCAGAAAACGTTTCATCGTGAGAAAACTTGCAGAATGGTTTCGAGCCACATCGAACAGACTATCCATCAAGAACAAAATCTACTCCACAATGTCCAGTTCCTGACTATTCTGGACTAGAGTCTCGGAGATTGCTCAGAATTCTGAAAATCTGCTGCACTGCCGTGAATTTTAGGCAAACTGCTTGGGGAGATTCTATTGACTGGGTTTTTACGTCAT